CTGCCCCTTCCCTGTCTCCAAGTACCTGTACCATGGGGAGTTCTGGACAGCTCACAGTGCCTCAGATCTCCAAAATCCCAGGCTTAGCTCTTACAGAAATATTCAAAATGCTTTGTTTGCCCCTGGTGTTTTGTGAAACTGTTTTTCTTTACCTTTGTAAGACAGCTCACGCAATGTTACAAAGCAGGAGGTTTTCACAGGCTTGCATGTTCCAGCAAACAGCCCTCCAGTCCTTGCTGAAGTGTAGACTCTTGCTGACTAAACTGCACCAAAGTCACTCTTTCATAGACACTCCTGATAACAGCAGGAGCAGGCCAGGAGCAAACCATTCTCAAAGACTTGATGCTCTGTTTTTCAGTTTTTAATTTATTGCTTTTGAAGCTGAGGGGAAGGAAAAAGGAAGAAAGACAAAGTAAGGCCTTGAGGCAAGTGAGAGGCCCAAAACTCCTGCATCCTAGCCAGGACCCCAGCATCCTGGGCTTCATCCCACTCTGTTTATCATTGCTCTGTAGCCAGCCCCAATCTAGGACCTATTGTTAGGGATGGAAGAAGCACATAGTGTGCCAAAGAAAATGTTTTGTGTTTTTCAGAGTGCCTGAACATAAGTCAGCAGGATGCTGGGAGCTGCCACACTAGACAAAATCATCAGTTACTATGCCAACTACTTTCTAGCAGCTGGTGCTCACCAAGGATTTGTACTGCAAACTTCTTAGACTCATAGCATCTGAATGCCCTGTGGGAAGGAAACTGGTGCCCAAGGTTGTCTTGCGTTCTATGGCAAGGTGGGAGCACTGATTTATCAATGCACTGTGTTCCCTTATTGCCAGCAGTGGCTCTTGTTCCTCCATAGCTCCAGTCTTTACAGGAAAGGACTGTACTGATGCAAAGTAATTTCTTTGTCAGCTTGTTTTCTTGTTTAGTAGGAAAGTAATATTTTTCTCAGTTTGCTAGATCTCCAGACACACTGATTTCTGCTGTGATCCTATCAGTTCTCACAAACTAAGTAGGCTTAAACAGACGAATATTCTTCATGAATGCTGAAGTTTCATTTACACAATAATTTGAGCCAGTTTGCACTGCCTTTCAATAGGATGTAGACACTTTTCAAGTATTTCAAAAGTGCTTGCTTAGTGAGTGATATATGGAGAACACCAGTGTACTTCATGAATTGGTATTGTTGCCTGCCACACAGGAATTGGTATCAAGCAAGTGCCCAGCTGTGCCATTGGAAGAAGGCTTCAGCTGAAATATAAATGTAAGCCTGATGTGTCATTCTTTTAGTACAGACTTGCTGTTTGTCCTATAGTTCTTTGTAACTATGAGGTCCTCAGAGACTGGTGTTCTGGGATCTGATCTTGTCTACAACTTCAGTCCTTGGAATTGTCTTCAAATTATTTTGAAATGGAAACAGAAGCCGGGTCTCTCCTTTCTTGTAAGAGCTGATACTCGCATCCCTTCTGTATGGAGACTGGATTTCATAGAAATCTTTTTTTTTTCTGAAATCAATGAAAAAATGCATTAATGTTTTGTTAGTATTTTAGTACACTAACATTAGTTTCTAGTATGGGTGTAAATAGTTGATTACATAAAGGCTGCTTACATCAGAAAAAGGGCCAATGGATTGGAAAAGAGAACTAGAGTAGAAAGGGAGTTTGGAACCAGAAAACCTGGAGATGAATGTATGGTGTTCTAGCACTTTTGGACTGGATCCCAATCATAATCGCATGGTGATTTGTTGAAGATGGTCTCAACAAGCAAACCTGTACCTTTTGTGGTACAAAAAACTGCAGCAGAGTGGTTTTATTCTGTCAGTAATTTGGAAGAGAGAATTCTGGCCCAGCCTTTGTGAAAACTACAGTTGAAAGAAAGGAACACTGTGGGTTTCTTGCCAATAACACTGAGTAGCCTGAAGAGCTGCTGGAAGGACAGAATCTTGCTTACAAAGGATGGGCCATAATGCCAAAGGCTGAGATTTCCTGTGCATAGTGAAGGCCTGAATCCTGGCCAGGTCTCTAAACTAAGCAACTCATAAATAATTCTGAGCAAGCTGTGAGAAGATTGCTCACAACCAGCCTGGCTGACAGAATGAAACCAAATCTTTTCTGGTGGCACAGTCAGGAATTTGTATTTCCCATTTGCATGTGTGTGCATCTTTGCCTAAATCTGTTGTCTCTACATGTGAAGAAATGAATATTCAATCATTAGTGTTCAAGCAATAATCCTGAATTGAAAACACGCAGGTCTAGGAGTATGGACTCTACAATTCTCATTGGGGTGTGGAGGTTTTTTCTGGTTATTTTTGGCTTTGCCTGAAACAGTCTAAGTTTTGAGAAAGCTTTTAATTCAGTTTGAAGTATTTATCCAGTCCTCTTAACAAGTGAACTCTTTAATATCCATTAAGGTATGAGGTCCTCTACTGGTTTTTTGCAGTCTTCATTATGGTGCTGAACAAGCTGTAATTTCCTGAAGCAGAACTAATTTCTGCTTCAGGATGCAGAAGTGTTGCCATGCTGTAATAAATCATCCAACAGGAGAGACTGAGGATAGGAGATGCTCCATGATGCATTCCTGAGAGCGTGGCAAATAGACTGAGAGCTGGAGCCTGTCTCTGGCAGCAGAGTGTAGAGTTTCAGATCCTAAGCCTCTTCTGTACCAGGGTAAACATCACCTTATAGATGTAATATCAGCACTTGATAACATGTTATGTGGGGACTGAAGGAAGCTGCAGATGAAATATCTCTTTATGAAAGTGATCCCAAGACTGGCAAATGCACTGGCTTGCTGTTGTCAAGTATTGTATGTTTATATTATAGAAGGTTGAAGTTATGTTTTGCAGCATAGTACATAAATGCAGAATAATGCATTTACTTTGATTTCTGTCTGTAAATAAGGAAAACCCATAGAAGCCAACAGAAGAAGGATTCTGCAGGCCAGGAGGATAAAATCTGCTTAGGCAAGCAACAGTGTTTTCAATATAGTGTCTAGAAAAAAAGTAAGTGGTTTTTTGTTGTGTCATGTGGAGAGAAGGTATTGGAACTGCAGGGAGTTGTGTACGAGATTGTTGTCCAAAAAAATCTTAGCCAAAGTTTTGTAGTTTTGTTTGTTATTTTTAAATTTAGTTTTTCCTAAAGGTTTAATAATGTAGTTGCAACAGCGTTTGCCTGGGTAATATAAGCCAAGTTTACCTGGGCAATACTATGTCCATTATATTGGTTGAAATTGAAAAAGTGAATTAAAGCAAGTTAGAAATCCTGTGAGAGAATTTGAGATTTCATTGAATTGGACAAAGATTGGAGAAAGGCAGCAATCTTGGTGCATTTTTAATAAGTCAGATTTAAGGATTTGTAATTCCATAAGTTAATCTTTTGCTAGATACCTCAAAACAGAAGAAATGAGAATCAGGGAAATGTTACTAAAATGTTGCCATTTAGATAGTGGCCCACATAGTGCTGCAGTCATTGCGCATTATCTCTGTGCCACAGAATCTGGCTCTTGGCAGGTCCAGTTTTAGTGGAGTTGTTGTTCATATCAGTTTTGTCTCCTCCATTTTGTCTTCACTGTTATATTTTAGAAGTAATCACTCAGTCCTGAGCTTCTTAAGCATTCTTTTGGATCAAAGGATGAGTTTTATGCATTGCAGGTTCTGAGCTGGAGGTAGATATGGGAGGAGTTGGAACAGATATTAGTTTCTAGAATGAATAATATAACTTGAATAAATAGCTTAAAGAGTGCTTGAGTGAATTCTTTCTGAATGTTTTAAGGGTTTGCAATGACAAAGCTTTTGAGGGAAGGAGCAACATATTCAAGGCAAGCTGAGATGTGTTTAAACAATCTAGATTGTAAATTGTCATAGGTTCCTGAAGCAAAGAGATTGCAGTGAACTCCCTTCCCAAAGCCATGACCTACACTCCAAACCGTGGCATGAAAGACACCAATTATCTTTTATGTCCCTGTTAAGTATGGTGTAGATAGGAAATACAAGGGAGGCCTGCCTTGGAAATCCAAAGGACAAATTTGGAAGGAGTGGTTGAGAGAAACATCAGAGATCAACAGACACTTAGGAAGTTCAGGCCTTGAGGCTTGAAGGTTATATTAGCCAGAGTGTCAGGATTCAGTGGTTCATACAACATCTGTGTTGTGAGCACAGAATGTGTGAATTGCTGGGTCGTTGTAGCCTCTTCAGGACACCTCGTGGTCCTGTCAGTCCTGAGAGCCACCTGCTCTCTGCAAAGCCCCTCAGCCTTGTGTAGAAGTGTGTTGGTGCTGCCGTCTCTCCAGGGCTTACAAACTTCAAAGCAAGCTGGTGAGCTTCTGTTGGTGCTTATCATGTTGCAGGCCACAGCTGAACTCCTACCATGTAAGCCTGGGCTGCCAGAGCTCCTGTCTCTTTGCAGAAGGCCTTTTGTCCTCTAAGAAAAGCTGGCATTTCTCTGAGGATGAAAGAAACGAGCCTATCTCACTCCCCCCAAGCCTTTTGGATTGTAACTGTAGGGAGTCAGTACGTATCCTAGTTCCAACCTCACCCAACCAGTCCTTTATCCTCTCTGGATGTTGTACTGCATGTGTATTTCTATTCTCTTGTCACTGCAGCATGGATGTGCTTAGTGTAATCCTTGTGTTACTGTATTAAAGTCTCTACAAATCTAAATAACTACTTATCTCATTAGGAGTGGGAATCAGCTTTTTTTCCTGCTGTTATTCTGCCTGTCTTCAATGCTAATCAGCCACAGAAATGTTCCAGTTTAGTGTTTTTAATTTCCTTTCCTTTTTTCTCCTCAAGAGAATGTGTAGTAATATAGTCCCAGCCTATATTCAAGAAAGTGCTTAGCAGGAAGCAGTTGGCACATGACACCTCTAGCAGGTGTTGTGCTTGCTAAAGCCATGTAATACAAATTCATAGCTGGCTAAATATTAAGAGATTTCTTTGAAGCAGCAGTGCCTTATAGGTAGGAGTCCTTAGATGCAGAGTAGTGAAAATTTGGTCTCTCTTCTTTCCTCAGGGCTCCAGAGAATCATAATTTTGCCTTGGAAGGAGAGATGGAGAACAGTGTTTACAAGGTGACACGGGGTCCTGTGGCACATCCCAGCTATCAGCTTCAGTTTGCTGTGCAGCAGCTTCAGCAGCAGAAACTTCAGTTGAGACAGCTGGGGGAGCAAAACCAAGCACGGCAACAGGTAACTAAGAAGAATTCCTGCCTGGGATGTAGCAATGCTGGCCGAGTCTTAGATGTGAAAACAAACTCAGGGACAGTGCGGATGGCAGAGATTTTGTCAAGGAAGTAGCTCTTAAAGTGGGTTGCAACAAAACCAGTATTACCTGCAGTGATTTTGATAGCATTTTGATACTATGGTTCCCAATACCTTCTTCCATTATGCTGGCATCTTAAGAGCTGGAGAATGTATGAAAAAGGGCTGGTGTTATGGATGTTCTGGATGACTCCTAGGTGCCAAAGGTGGACCACTGTGTGTGCAACAGCATTTTCCTTCTGCTGGGAGAAGCTTTCAAGGTTATAATGACTTAATTGATACACTTGTTACCTTCCTTTGTTATTGTGAAGAGAGAGAGATGTATTCTGAGTGATGTCCAAAATACTTCCCTGCTGAAAGAAAGGAAGCCTTTGGGTGATGAAACCTTCATTCAAAACAACTTGGTCTCCAGTAGCAAGGAGCTATTTGTTAGCAGTCTGGCATGACTGGACTCCCATGAACAGACCTGACACATGGAGGTCTGGACATCCACTCTCCCTCCTGTGAAGCAGATGAGTCATTAGTCAGGGCCATTGGGAATAGGTTATAGGCAAATTAGGAGTAATCCTTTTCTGGGAATATCTTGAAAGAGAGGCCCTTCTGCTTTTTGCTCCTTGCTCTCCTTTCAAGGCCCTTACTTAGCTGTGTAGTTACCACCCTCAACTTCTCTCACAGTCTTCTTGCTCTCACTCACTTTCTTTCATCTCTGTCCACTGGGCTCTGGGTGGGCAGATGTGTCTGCTCACAAGTTCAGGAAAGAGCCATAAACTGGCTTGTGCTTGTGAGGAGGCTGGAGCTGGCCATGGGGCCTGGCTGAGCCTTCTTCTAACTGCTGACATTGAGCTGATGTTATTCTTGGCCTGGGGCAGAGCCATTACTCAGGAGTTTCTGTTAAAATGATTCTTTGTTAAACCTCCTCTCACCCCCACCACATCCCCCATCCTTTCTCTCCCTCCCTTCTCCTTCTGAGCCAAGCATTTTGGAGTTGCTGTGTTGAGGCCATTGCCATGCTGCAGGGCTCAGGCTGCACTGAATTTGATGTTATTGAAGAAAAATACTTGCTGAACATGGGCGCCTTCAGACTTTCTGTTATGAGTAAAATGTCATCTTAAAATTATTGTCTTTTGGACACTTCCTGTCAAGACATTGTGTGGAGCCAGCCAACCCTCCTCTTCCAATAACAGCTGCATCAATCCTCTCATGCCCACTCTGCCAGTCATGACACTACCCTTTCCTTCCCTTGCACCCTCTCTAGCTTTCTATCACTGACCATTCTGCTAGTTAGCTTCTCAGACTTTAGTCCTTTAACTTGGCCCTTATAAGAACTGCCTTCTTTTTTCTGCTGCTTATGCATTCTCTGACCTACATCTTCCCATTTACACTGCTTTGACTTTTGCACCATCCTTTCATGCTGACCCTCATTTGTCCTCCCCTTTTAGGCAGTGTTCATGTAGCTTTTCCTAGCCTGCATAGCTTTACCACGTTTCCTTGTCAGTGTCACCTATGCTACCTATCTCCCATTGCCTGCTGTTTTGTTCTCTTCCTTCTCATGTATTGAGATCTACATCATCCTTTGTTGTCTTGCCTGTTACATTGAGATTTGTGAGTCTCCCCTCAGAAGAAGAAATATATCCCTCAAGACTGAAGACCTATCACTTGAAAGAGTGTCATCATCTCTCTATTTTGGGGAATGTGTGCAGGATATCCCTGAGACTGTTTCATCTGATTGTTCAGGTTCTTGTTATGGTTAGAAGGCAGACTAGCCATTTGTCAATAGCTGAAGTACATCTATTAATGAATATATCTTGAGCTGCTCTCTGAGTGTGGTATGACCATGCAACGTGACTAGGTGCCAGTCTTTGCTTCTGTCTCTGGCAAAGGGACTAGTTACACATGTAACTACATGTATGTGATCAAGTAACAGAAGCACCATTATTAATAACACAGCAAATGCTTCTCCTGTACATTAACCTGCTCAGTATGTTGGAGATGAGATGAAAAGCATGGCTTTTTTAATCAAGTATTTGTGTCATAAGAATCCCTCCATTTACCAGGCAGTAGATCTGTCTTATCATGTGTGTAAACATGAAGGCTTGTTGTGTGCTTTGTTGCAGCACCCACTCTTGGTTGAACATTTTCCAGACACATAAGAATGATGATGATTTCTCCAGGCATTTAACGATCTGTGGAATATCAAATACTGTGTGGGTGGAGGAAGAGGAATTCTAACAAAGTTTTCACTCATTGTATGCAGAAGCTAGTTCACACAGTGTAGTATGGTAGGAATAGACCTTTGATTGCAGAATAGGTACTTGCTTACTTGGATTAAAGTGGCTGGATGAGAATCTAGCAAATAGGTGGAGTGATATGGACCAGGAACAGACACAGTACAGACCTTGAGAAAAGTGAACAAAGATAGGAAGGGGAAGAGTTTTAAAGTAGAGACAAGAAGCTTAAATCTGATATCAGTAAAACCAAGGAACAAGAATTAAACAAGAATTAACAAAGTCAAACCAAAAGACAAGAAAAACAGGCTTATAGCAGTATTTTTCATGTTTAAAGGAGACTTCATGTGACATGTTATGACCTAGATGTTATTATCACTGCTGCAGTTGGCAAGACAGTTAATATACCATCATTGTTTATTCTCTAATTGTTTCCTGTACTGGAAAGATGCCATTAGCTGTTAGGGAGGTTCCTTCTTTGTGTGGCTATGTTCTGTCTGCTTAGCCTAGCATCTACTGGATTTAAAATTTTATGCCAAACATTTCACATGGGAAAAAAGCTAAATTAAAACAAGGGAAGTACAATTGTATGGTGGAATGATCCCTGTCAGTCCTGCTTACATCAAACAGACTCCTGTTAAGTAAGACATGAATCATGTTAATGAGTTGTGTGGGCAGTTACGTGATCACAGTTTCAATCACAAGTTTAAGTAGATTTTATGCTGTAGAAGATTAGGCTGAGTTAATATGAAATAATTCTCCTCTCAGTCATTTAAAAATTGTATGTCCTCTGAAATATTCCTCATTTTATGAAGTTCAGCAAATTTTTTGTCTTTTCAATATTTCTGATTCCCTCCTGACATACTTATCATTTATTTAGATATGACTGGAAATGCTGAGTACTGTGAATAATATTCCTAGTGTTGTTAGAGCTATATTATTACTGCTTAAGGATACAGGGCATCTTTGAATGCAGCCTCATCATTAAACTGTTTTCTAAACTGTTGTATATTGAACTGCTGTCAGATTTGCAGTATCTCTTTTCCTTCCTTCCTTTTCTTGTTCATTCTTGTTTTGCAGCTTTCTCCCTCAGATTGTTTTCCCACTAAATGTGCTAACTGCCATTTTTCCTATTTGAGTCTTGTGATACTGATGAGTCAAAGTCTCAGTGTAAGTAAAACAGAACAAGCATTCTAAAAGCAGTAGTCTGAGCTGATTTATACCAGCTGAAATTTTGTCCCCATGTTTCTGATCCTGTCACTATTATTAGACTTATGGTGACGCCCAGATGTCTTAACTATCTTTCCAATACAATGATACAGTCCAATCCTTGCCCCAGAGAGCTAGCAGTACCAAGAGAAATAAAACAGAAGGCACCAAGCCAACTGAATAAAGTATATTTTTTTTCTTGCTCTGAAGAATTTACCAAAGAGGACATGGTTCAGGACAGTCTGTGCATACCATATGCTTCTTCTTCTTCTTTAAGACCCTAAGATACTCTTTTTAGTGCAGTTTAACACTCTGGTGGTTAATAGTACATTTTGAGCCTGCTCTTTATTGCCACTTTGTAAATTTTCAATTCAACCAACCATTGTATCCAAACTGATTTAACTGAATGCATTAGTATGTTCAAAATAATTTCCCCTAAACAATTTATATGGCTGGAAAGGTCTTCCAAGGCTATTAATTCTCTGTATTTTTGCAATGTTATCTGAAACACAACTGCTTTTCTAAAAGTGGTTGCTTGTGTTTTGTTGGGTTTGCTCTTTCTTTTTTTTAACTTAGAACCTCTTTATTGTTTATTGCTTGTAAACATCTCAGTTTGCAGTGTCAGGGATTTGGACTAGCTGCACAGATCTTTATGCAATACATGTGCGTGTGCATCTGTCTGTCAGTTCTCATACACTGCTGAGTCTCTCATCTTTTTCAGATTTGCTTATCCAATTGAATGTGAATGACTTTGGGATAGAAATCTCACAGCAATGTTTCATACAAATTACATTAAAATCCAGAGCCATATATCTGGGAAGGGGGTTCAGCTACTGTTCCCATTAAGGCAATAGCCTCAGTATGAGGCCATTCCTAATTAGACAGCACAAAATCCAACACAAGAATGGCCAGACTCATGAAGGGAGGCATAATTTGGGGTATGCTTTATATTAGATACTGTAAGACAGATTTTTCAGGAAATGAGCTTCATTACCTCCTCTGGTCACACAGTGAACGTGTTTCTGCTTGCAACATTTGTTCCATTACTGTGCTGGGGGTGGGTGTTAGATACAGGGATGGTAAGTGCCAGGAACATTCTTTCTGTTTTTGAAGAGCATTATTATATCTGCTTTTCTTCAAAGTACTACACTACCTCTGCTTTTAATCACTAACAGCCCCAACTTAGCTGCTACCTATACTCTTAGATGTTCATTGTCCTTACTGACAAGGTGTACACATTGAGATTTTCCTATTACTTTTTTTTTTTGTCCAAGGAATACTTTGTGTATGGTGTTGTAGATGTTGAAACAAGAAAATATTGCTTCAGTCTGTGATGTAGGGAAAAATACTTTCAGTCAGTTCTTTCTTCATGGGCAAGACAGGGTTAATGCTGTTCCTCCTCCCCAGAAAATTATGCACCAGAATTAACTCACTAATAATTTACAGAAATTTTAGCTAAAATGTCTAACAGCTTTTTTAGTATTTTTCAGATTTGTAGCTCTAGAGACTTCTTAGGGTAGCAAATATCTCCTCAATATCAAGTTAAATCTGCCAGCTTGGGAACTGTAATTGAAAGTTTTTCTCTTGAAGCAGCAATAGTTGTAGAGTTACAGCTACATGATTCAGGACTGCATCTGTCAGGATTTGTCAAGGCTTCTGCTTTCCCTAAACCCTTAGTTTTCAGAATCATGAGTGATAAGGTCTGTCTCCTATGTTTTGGATGTGCTGAAAGCTTCCCAACCCTTCCTTTGTGTGGTCAGGCTCTGTTCTCCCCAGCTGTCCTCTTTATTTGCACAGAAGCTTCTCCTGGTTTCCCGTCCTGTCCCCATGGAGTTCACAGCAGGGCAGTATACTTTGTAGCTGAATCCAGAAGCCGTGGTCCTTGTCAGCTTCCAGTCTCCCCGTCCTTGCCTGGAAGACAGCCAGAATCTCAGCACAGTGTGGAGACAAAGGCATTTTCAGAAGTCTCTAACCCCCAAGAAAAACATCCATGACCTTTCTTTAGGCAGGTTTCCACACAGTTTTTGCTGATCAGGCTTCATTAGAGCATCCATGCCTGCTGTTTCTTCAGTCATGGATCTCCTTGCCAGTGCATATTAACACAGGCAAAGAGTTATGACTGTATGTGTTGTGAGCTCCAGGATCTTAGTGATTTTGGTAACAAGAAAAAGAACTCCCAGGAAAAATGCATAATATTAAAATAACTTAAAGGAAAGATGGATAATATAATTTCACAGTGAAATGTCACTGCTGAATAAGAAGTGGGTGCAGTGACTTGAGAGTCTCCATCCCGACCCTACAATGTGTCAGGCTCTGAGATGCAAGAGTCTAAGTGCCAAGTTCCATTATAGTTTGTTTTTCTGGGGAGAGGTGGAGTGCGACTGCTATTTTCCAGACTACTGCGCTTGTACTAGTTTCCTGATTGAGAATCTGGAAGCTGCAATCAAGGTAGAGCTTCAGGGAAGGGAGAGGTTAAGAAGGATTGGGAGCCCAAGGGCGTGTTGTCAGTGAGCTCTAGTTAGGAAACAGGCCTGTTTTGGCTCCTGCACTTCCTTCTCTCCCTAGAGCTCTGCCTGTCAGAAACGCCTTCCCACACAGCGCTGCTCTGCCATTTGCCAGAGAATTGCGGGGGAGAGGGGCTTTTCCTGTCTGTGCGCTGAGACTCAGCCAGCTCTCAGCCTGTGGTTTGCTCTGGAGCCTGGAGCCCATTTGCTGTGGCTTTGTGTATTTTCCACGCGAGGAGAAACTGAGGACAAACTCAGTGAAGGGCACTCCCCTCCCAGGGTCACACAGAGGGCTCAGCTCTTCCCCTTATCTCCTATCACTGACCTCTAGATGCCAAATTACAGGGTTATGGTATTGCCTCTGTTCTGGGAATCCGACTGACTTCGAGGAAAGACAAAGCAGAGCTCCCAGCAGGTTGCTCCTTTCTGAAGAAAATTTAGCAGTCTGCAGAGCTCCCATAGTGGAAATATTCTCCACTCCCTGCTTTGCCAGGCCATTGCTCTGTTCTCCAGTGTCTCGTAACATGCAGATCCTTTTGTTCCCAGTGTCACATCTTCAACAAGCTTACTCTCCCACATGCTATAGGAATAGAAATATTTTCTGTTCCCTCATATTACTGGGAATTTCCTTTTTGTCAGTGGTGGCGTTAAAGTTCCCTTTTCAGAAGAAGGTACCCTAGAGCTTTTCTATTACTCCAAGCACCTACACAGTTAGACCAAATAAGTAGCATTGTGTCATCTTCCCCATAACCTCTCTCCTAGAACTGTGTCTCAATCCTACCTCCCACATAAAGAATAATTTAGCAAGATAACACAGAAAGTCAACGTACTGAAATATTTACTACTTTGTGAATAGAAGCCCACTGCAAGATTAGATTGAGTATTGGGCCTGTTGTTTTTAATCTGGAATAGTAGAATTCTGTGGCAGTAGTGAAGTTGTCTGCCTTCCTAGAAGCTACTCCTGGTTTCCAAGGGCATAACATTCACTGACTTAACAACGTAACTCTTTGTGTGGGACTTTGCCTGGAGCCCTGGGATTGCCTTCACCAGGCAGATATTATCCCTCACAAAAGTGTCACCCACCTCCATCCGCAGTCTCAGCAATGTTCACAGAGGTAATCACCAATTACTATGGGATTTTTTTCTTTTTTTACCCAGGCTGTTTTTGCCAACTACTCACAATCCAGCACCAGTCATATATCTATGCCAGCTGGCTCTGATGCCCGCAAGACATCAAATGCCACTTCTAGTATCCAGAAGGCAGCCAGTTTGCACAAAGTGATGCCATCCCAGAGTACAGCTCCTCAGCTGGTTCCAAAGCCTCCAACAAACCACAGACAGGCAGTGATCAGAAAGGCTGCAGCCCAGAGGATATCCAAGTAAGTTTTGTCTCTTCCATCCACAATAGGGAGTTGGCACTGGTTCCCCTGAAAATGAATATTGGAGAAGAAACTGTCTGCATCTGGCTCGACAGATCTTTTTGGCTGTGCTATCCAGGATAAATCTCAGAATAATCTGAGGTGTACATACTGAAATAAGCATTGCACTGTGCTGCAGTTATGTGTTTCATAGGGGTATGGAAGGTAACTGTAACCTTACTGTAAGGTAAGGACATAGAAACTGTCATTCAGTAATGTAAATACAGGCTGCTAGTGGCATTTTGGATGCCCAGGGCTATTCCACCTGACTTTCAGCTGCTCTTCCAGATGAGTACAGGTCTTCTGAAGTTCTTGTGTTGTATCTGTCAGTCCCATGCAGATGTCTCAAATAACTTGAGAGCACCAATTAAGGTACATCTCTGTTTAGGCACTTAAGTCACTCCCTCAGTCTAATCTTTGATGGGGGCTAGAATCTAGAAGAGGGTGCCAAAAAAACCCCCAAAACTCAATAAAAAAACCAAAACAAAGCAACCAAGCAGTTCAATACCTTTAACAAGGTAATCTGCCCTTGAGCCAAGTTTTCCCATAAATTTAACACCATGTTGGATTTAGGCCTTCAAGCATAAGTGTTTATTTCATTTGAAATGCTTATTTTGTGCCTGATGTAATGATAGCTTTTCTCATTAACTATAGAAATCCCTCTCTTTACTTTTAGTAAGCTTTTAGTTAAATAATGCTTGCTATTCTAAGGTAAGTGGATGGATTTGACTGTTATCTTTAAAAACAAATGCTGTCTTTAGAAACAAACAAAAATATTCACCTTGAAATTTTGCTTACTGATTATAAGTTTCCTTCCTTCCTTTCCATTTCTTGGTATGTCTTCTCTTTTGTGCATTATGAGAAAATGTGAGCAAGACTCCTCTGGGTTTTCAGCCTCCTCAAATCTCTGTTTATCTCCTCTTAAATGGCCAAACTGCTTTAGTCTAAATCCTTCATCAGGTTTTTCCTTATATATCCTCAGACTTGTTTCATCCTGAAAAATTGATTTCATAACTTCCTTCCTTGTACTTACTCTACAGCCAGAAGAGTTGTAAAGCTTTCAGAGCAAGCTCCTGTGAGGTTTCCTGATTCTGTTTTCACTTCCTGTTTAAAGAGAGAAGCTTTAGTTTTATGTTACTGATGAAAGACACCTCATGAAGATGCAGTCACTGTGTGTGAATCAAATCTGGAACCGCAAGGCATATTTAAGGAACTTGGACAGAACTGATTTAGGGAAGTTTGTGTATTTGCTGCCTGTACTCTTGCTATCTTAAGAGATAGCACACAGAGTTAATCCCCCAAAACTATTTAAAAAGAAAACAAGATGTTAGTAAATTTTGTCAGCTCAGCAAATGCAGATGTGAGCACCAGGTCTGTCAGGTATGCTCTGGTGGCTTTGCTATGTGATTTCTTTCATGTTGGGTGGCTCTTGTTAGTACAGGTGACAGGCTGTGTCAGTGGGTTCCTCTGCTGGGCAGCAGGCATGTGTATTTGAAGATGCCGGTGTGCTGTGCTCACTTCTTGGCAGAGGAAATGTTTATCCTTGTGAGATGGAATTGCAGCTCCTTGGACAGACTTTACTTTGCTGCATTTTTGTGGTTTCTGCTCTGTGACAGGCATTAGTGTGGGAAAACCGGAAAAAGTTCAGCACCAAAAATGCACAGAAGGGGGAAAAAAAGCAAAAGATTCCTTCAGAATTTCAGAAAACTAATCCAAGTATTGAAGGCTGCAAGGAGCCGCTCCGGAAATATTTTCCAAGTTGCCTTTCAGTCTCCAGCACAAGGCTCCAAACCCATTCTTGCCATTCATGGGATCTTGCAGTAACATTTTTTCACTTACATGGAAAACAACAGTGCCTAGCTGTAGTTCCAGCACACTGAGAGCTGATAGTTTAAAAACTGCTATGTCTCAGACTAATTTAATCCATTCATTGTTGTCAGGAAAAGACCAGATACACATCTACAGAGGAGAGTGAATGGAGAAAAGCCTCTGTGTCAAAGGAACATGGACTAGAGGAAAAAAAGATGTCTTGCATGCTTCAGCCTTTTTTCTACAATCCCTGATAGGTTGTACAGAGTATTTTCAGACACAGTGTAGTCTGCTTTCAAAAAAGTCCAGTGGTAGAAACTCTACTGTGTGATATAAAAATCTAGTTAGGAATCTAGACAACCTTTTAATCACCTAGTTTCTCCTGATGTGCTGTATTTTTCTTTTGAGTTCTTGTCTGAATTTTTCCTTTGTTTCATCCTGTTGTACCTTGTTCCTACTTCCTGAACCTGAAACACTTTCTCATGTAAATACTTCCCATCTTTTGAATATTCTTTTACTTCTTGGAGTAACCTAATTTTGCTTAGACTTGTTGAGGTATGTTAACCTCAGATAGTAGTTCTACTTGCCAAGTCCTTAATTGTCTTGAATTTCCCTTATTTTCTCCAGTTTGTCAGAGTGCTTGGGCTGTGGCACCCAAAATTGTACTTTTCCAGTGAGACTACCGTGTCCTTAGGTTATGACATGGCAAACATCCCTCTCCATAACATTTTTTGGCTGCTTCATTTGTCTGTCAGGTCACTTTTGATTTGCTGCCTTCTCTCACTCCCTAATACTTCTTGGCTGTTTTTCTGATATCTTTCCTCAAAGAGGATCTCAGGATCTCAGGGCTATGTATTATTTACACAAGACTTCCCTGAAACTAATCCCATTCTGTTGTTAAAGCTCTCATGTCTCTTTCTCCCCCCATATATTTCAGTAAGCCAGACTTTATTTCTGTGTGCTCTTGCACTGCCTGGGTTTTGTTTCACATCTTTATGAAGATCTTCTTTTTGAAGTTGTTTCTAGAATTTCTCCAGAGACAGGACTGCGATGACAAAACTAAAATCAACTTTGTCTCTTTGACCTATCTCCTCCTTGCATGCGTTATCAATTCTCCCCCAGCCAGCACACATGGCTTCCAGAAAAGGAAGAAACAAGTAGAAAACTCAACTACAAACAGAATGAGATGCTAAAGATGAACATTACTGACTAATTCAAAAACTGTCTAGTAACTTGGACACTTTCCTGGTTGAAACATAAAGGAAAAAAGTAATGGAGCAGCCAGACAATTCAGTTTTGTCTTTTCAGTTCCTGGCTTCTCTTGTTTTTGTAGAAGGTGGTAGGTTGACTTTATAATGGATTGTGTCCAAAGCAGACTCCTTGCTTCAGCTAACAGAGTGGAAAACTGGGGCCCATATTAAGGTGTGGAAAAAGACTAACTGGGAGAAATGATTTAGTATGCAGCTCTCTGCTGAAATACAGCGCCATAAAATGGTGTCACAGAGCTCCATAGTTTTGATCAAATGCACTTGTATCACTAATAGATAGCTTTTGAACAGCTGATACAACAAACTCTTTTTTCTTTCCCAGAGTCAGACTGGGTCTTTCCCACTGCTCATGTTGCCACTACTTTTGGTAGGTAGTGGTTCTGTGAACCATGAAGAAACCTGCTGATATTTTGAGATAGAGATCACAGATACAGTATTTATAAGCAGTGGAATGAAGCAGATATTCCCTGGCAACAGTATTTGGTGTTATAGAGTCTTCACATTACAGATGACAGCATGCAAAGTAGAAAAAATACATTAGCTCAACTGTTCACAAGAGTGAACTGGTGGTAGATGAAAAATCTTTCTGCTTTTAGGAATGCCTAAGTTGTAATAAATACACATTTCTGTGCTGTCATTCACATAGTAACTTCTCAGAAACTTTCTCTCTGTGACAGTGTCAAGAAGAGTAACACTTTGAACAATCTGTGAACAGAACCATCAGTCAAAGAAAATAGCTTAGAAAAATTGATCTGTCAATATTAGACCACTGTATATAAGGAGAGGAAATGCTAGGTAGGGAAAAGGAGCATATTGTTCAAGATGTTGTCACAGAGAGACCAAGTTTACCAGTAGTAGACTGGAACACTACAAACTGTTGGGGATATTGATCAGCATGGCATGATTTCTTGTACTGAACATCTCTGTAAATGCCATAACAACTCTATTCAGGAAGACTTTCAAAATAAATATTTCCTTTCAAGTCCCACCACCACAGAACAGAAGTCTTTCTATGTTCTCTTTTGTTTTACATGGTGCCAGCAGTAGAAGAGCCAAAGTTCTTCTCTATTGTAACTAGTACAGAAATAGTGTAGAGGGGGATCCATTTCTCTAGGGTTCAGGAAATCCATCCCAGAGTGGGGAGGAGTTCTGACTGCAGTTGGACACAGAAGTAGCCAGCTTTTTTCTAGGATCCACTGGCCAAGCCTAGCAAATGTGCCAAAAGCAGATGATGATCACAGAGCGAGGCCCTGTAAAACACTATGGCTCTGTTTTGTATCTTGTCTTGCCCATGTGTGAAGTGTCTTTAGTGAGCCAGGTACATCACACACAGAAACTGAGTGCCCGCTGATAAGAGGACAGGCAGCAGAACACCCATCTGACAGTTACTGGAACCCCTTTGACTGTTTTGCTGCTGCTGTACTGCAGCACACTTGTTTTTTCAGCTCCTGAATATCTGGGTTAATCAGGCTGCCTGACCTTTAGACATTTTTGGCAGTAAAAGCAGTTCTGAGAGACATGCCTTGATTTAACACCCTGCCACAGCTGGGCTCACTAGACCTGTAGCTCGTAGCCCTTGGCTAGCCTCAGATCATACACCCAGATACACATGCAGGGTGCCCCATCCAAGAACAACAAAGAGGATCAAGCTTCCTTGGCTCTGGGTCTTTACATCTGCTGCTATCCTCTTATCAAATCTGGACTTTTTGTGATGTGAATATGGTAGTGTCAGATCTGTCTGGTTCCAGTGGACCTCTAGATGAATCTGTAGCATCCCAGAAATAAGTTGTTAAAACAAAGACGTTCAAAACTCAGTCAAATATCTTTCACCTGTGGAACAGAATTTGCAGTCCAAGGCTGGGCAGCTGAATGCTAGTCTAGTACCTAAATTAAGAAGCCAGTATCAGTTTTGAGGACAAGTTACCCATATAGGAGATAGAAAAGAGCAATGACAGATATTAAAACGGAGGGGACAGTTGGGACTGGTTTTGTTAATATTGAATAAGAAATGGAGAACATAACAATGGATTGCACTGGAGAAATGGAAGCAAAAACAACAGAGACATTGACATTAGCAAACTGAGAAAAAGCAGTGGGATTTCAGCCAGTCTGAGGAGGAAGAAAGTGGAAAGGGATTACCTCAGTTTAAACAGTGAATATGTTCTGGCTCTGAAGCTTTCATCAGGACAGCACAGAGAGTACAAGGAAGTGATCTTAGCCTGGTGGGAGATCCCAGGAGCAGAGCTGAGAATGAGCTCTCAGAATGAGGTGACTGTTGAAACTGCAAGAATCAAGGTACCCAGTGTTGTGGGTAGGCAGAGAAGAAGGGCAAGTCTGTAGAGATAAAGAAATTCTCTGAACAATAAGGTAGAAGAGTGACCATTTCCTGTTTTGCTTTTATATTGTTGTAGTACTTGCTGGCATTCTTGGTTACTTTTTCATCTACTAGTTTTGCATTCCAGAAGGGTGAGCTGAATTTGGCTGTCAGTTGTGCTGTGTTAACAAAGTGGGCATGCTAATTATGAACACGGAACCTCTATGTAAGAAGCATAAAGATCCATTTAGATTCTCAGCTTCCAGAAGGACCATGCAATATCAGCAAAAAAACCCCCATAAATACAGATCCAAAATTCTCTCCAAGAGACAATAAACACAGAAACAGGCACCTCATTTGACAATAGCATTTCCAGTTAAGACTGACTGAATTAAGGGGTTGTGGAATGCAAATGTATCTGCATCCCTCTCCCTTCATGTGTATACTCCATTTCACTGAAATCCAGCTGAAATAAAACACAGGAGTCCCTCACAGACCTTTTAGCTGTCAGAAGCACCTGGTTTCTGGCAACTTGCTGACCTTGAAATCTGGAAGCAAAAGGTTTTCAGATAAAACCATAGAAACCGCACATGTTTAAACAGTGAATTACAATTTAAACAGTGAGTAACAGTCAGTTGTGAAGGCATCCCATGGGGATTGGAGATCATGATGCTCTTCAGGGGAAGAGCTGACAGCAACTGTAACACTGCAGAGCTGAGAGAGTGAAGGACTCTGGCAGAGATGAGTGTACTCACAGAAAAGTCTGTAGTGATTGGAAATGAGTTGGGCCAGAAAGAAGAACAGCAAGGAAGAATAAGGGAGGAGAAGACAAATCAGGAATAAATTATATAGGTTTTTAAGGACAGAATAGATGCTTGCAGCTGTATAGCTTGCCCTTCTCTTGTGAGTAGACCCACTTTTTCTGTAGTACATGGTCTCAGTTTGGTAATTAATATTTCTGAGTCAAACTACAGTTGTAATCTACAGAGTATAGTTCTGCTGTAACTCAAGTGCTGAGATCAATGCAGAAGGATTTGCATAAGGTATCTGCTTGAGGAATGGCACTGGATTACTGAAAATTAGATGCATCCCATGTGTCTCAGTTTGCAAGATAAGTGGGAAATCTTGGCTAAATGAGCTCTCTGCTGAGGCAAGATGTAAAGACTTAACTCTTGAATCTAGTATGTTTTGACAGCATGTGCATTTCTGTGCAGTTGTTGCTTAATCACTTTAATTTAAATCATTGGACTAAGATGACCACAGCATACACTAGTTGCGGTGTATGTTGGTGGCCCAATACCATTTACTGTCTTCTTTATGCTCCAGAATCAGCTTCCAGGGCATATGAGGCAATTAAGTGTTTTAGTCACATCAAAGTTTCCCTGGTGGCTTGACTGTTCATTTGTCTTGCTCTGCTTTTTGGAGTCAGTTGCTGTCACTGCCTTTTTTGTACCGCGTTCAGGCACAGCTTCATGGTTACAGTCCCAGTGAGATTATGTGAACTAGGGGAATTCTCATTTTTTTGTTTGAGACTTTCATTCTTCCTCGCTATATCACTTACCTCTGTCTAATTTTATGGTTTTACCTCTTAGGTTGACCTCCACTGAAAAGCAACTGGATGGATTCCAGAACAGCCTTCACAGTGCTGCACCCTGTGAGCCAGGGACATGTTCCACAGGTGAGTGACAGTGCCAAAGCCCGTGAAAGTGGGGGTGGGTATGCTGGGATGCTTTCATCTTTTTCAAGAACTGGCAGGGAAAACCTTATCAGCAAGAAGAAACACAGCTGCCTCCTCTACATGTAGTGGTTCCTAGGTAACAGTCTGGGTTCAGCTGTGCAGGGAATTTATACCCCCTGGGATAAAAAAGACTAAACAGAAGGGAGCATAGGCTGAGTTTCATAGAATTGGAAGACCCCCTTAAAATATGGCTGAGGAGGGAAAAAAACACCTTGGCTCAAGTGGTTCCTTTTTGCTTTAGACTTTGGCTCAAGATGCTCTCTTGTTTAAGCTTGGCCTGTAATAAAAGGCCAGGACATACTTTACATTTTTCTTTGGTCTTGCAGAAAAGCTCTTAGTGCAGAAAGACATAGCTGAAACTTGTGAATCAGCTGCATAATGAAGTCAAGTAGTAGATGTGAAAATATCTGTTAGAAAATCACTGAGAATTACACAATCAAATCTTTGTCTTTCCCTAGTGGCTAATTAATTCAAACAGGTTTATCTGCTGATAAGTTCTCAGCAAATGAAGACCCAGTCATTTTTGCAGACCTATTGGCAGGTAGAGCATAGTCTTGCAAATCCGTACTACCTGGGGCTCACAGTAATTTGTGATAGTGTTATGGAATATGTGGACACATTATGTTCCAGAATGCTTTGAAAAATTATGTTTCTGATCTTCTGTTTTGAAATAGAACTGTGAATGACTTAAGTGTCACTAATGCAGTGATCTCTGTGTTTTCAGAGGCTGAAAGAAAAGTTTATGGAGAGGTTCATCTCTTTGGATATTTATCTCTGAAATTAAAATATGACATTTCCTTTATTTATGTCAGTGATTTTTTTGCTGATCCTCTAGCACAAACATTCAGCTAATGCACTTAACATACAGTTCCAAACTGCCTCCCACACTTTACTACCTGCCAAAAACTCCAGTTGTCCTACCAGAAATTTTATAGGCTGAATGGCCACAGTCAATATTAAGCACCCTATGGTACACTGTAACATGACAGTGTACTCTGGCATATAATGGCATTATCCAAACAAATAGAATTATGTCAACCCTGTATTATGTGTATAGCTAAATACAAAGTTTTGATCTACTGTATAGTGCAATTTAAGTTTTTAGTACAGTATATAAAGCAAGGTTACAGATAAATTTAAAAGTAAATGTAAAAATGAAGTTCTCAATATATTGGCAAAATTGGTTTGTTGAGTGGACTAACATGAAGGTGTTTTGTGTGCTGGATTTTGCCTTCTTTTTTACATTTTAAAGAGTACTGTTGCAGTTGCCACTCTGTAATTTTAACCTTTCCAAGAGAATCTTTCCATCTCCTCTGGATACTGTTGTTATGTGTGTCCATGATAACTGTAGGTAGCATTTTGCTATCCTTCCCCATTTCTGTGAATACCCACACAATGCATGCATGAAGATGGATGATAGTATTAATGATGGTATGCAACAGCCAGAGTTGGAGGAATAATAGAGGCTAGATACCCACAGTGAATTTCAGGGTAGTCACTCCTCTGTGAATGCTTGTAATCCAGTGAGAATTGAGAACTTCAGCTCATGTTTCCTACTGTAGAACTGGTCTAGCTGCATTGTGCTAAACTACCCTTTCTGAAGCTGAAAGAAAGGGTTAGCCTGCTATTTAACTGAGAGTATCAGGGCCTAGGTAAAGCCCAGGTTTGGCTAGGGGTAGGTTAGTAGAACCACGGTGGGTGGGTCACTCAAAGCTTCCTGCTGCTAAAAGAGGTCCATAGCTCCAAGAACAGTGCTAAATGTTGCCGTGATTAAACTAACTAGAGCAAAACATTTGTTCTTTGAAACTGGGGGATGATATTTTCTTCAGCTTTGCACCAAGTTACTGGTATGTGTCAGAGGCTGTTGTGCCCAGTTTGTGTCTCAGAAACTACTCTGCAGCAGTAGTCCCTGCTGCAGCAACAGCTGTTTTTCTTCTTCACTCTCTCCATTGATTGCTTACACTAGGGCGCCAATTTCCCCTCAGCAGCAGTTTACTTGGGGTTACTGTTTCACATGTATTTAGTATCTTAGATACCAACTGGAGAGGTTGGACACACAAGTCATAAAGCAAATCACAGAATAAACTGCAAGCATTTAAAGATGGAAGGCTGTGAAAAGCTGCAGATATAAAAGAGGAATCAGGCAGAACCTGTGTTAAAACACATACACACAGATGATCAGAAATGTCTGAGAAGCTTGAATAGGCCTTCTCCTCTAACAGCCCATCTGAGAGTAGTTATGGGGCTCTGTGAAGAAGCATAAAGGTGTCACAAGTGATGTTACCTCAAGCCACGATGTTGCTCAATGGAAGAGCGAATCAGGCAGTATGGAAACTTTTAACTAGAGTGTCCAGAAGACAATTCACTAGTGGTTAGTGCTGCAACTGTAAAATAGCAGCTGTAGACACTGTTGTGCAGTGGGCTCAGGCTCTTGAGAACAGATCCTTTGAAATAAAAGGGAAAATAAAAGTCAGCATTTTTGCAAGGTAGCTCAGGATCCTGAAACAAACCACCACTACAATGAAGGTAGCCTCATCTTCATTTCACAGAGGCAGAAGTTTTGGGAGCTGTCTGTCACTGGTGTAAAGAGACAGAAGGCAGAGAGCCTCATGACTCTATACAGACAGGAATGTAAATTTGAAAGATAGCAAATGGGGGTTATTTGTAGTGTCTGAAGAGACAGGTTCTTAGCAAAATTTGTGGGAGTTTGGCAGGATTTATTCTAATAAAGAAATACTAAGAATTACTACCTCTAGGGAACATTTAAATTGCTGTGACCTGAGTTTTCACTGAACACCCAGTCACTAGTGGGTTTCTGAAAATAGGGCCATTATCACATTGCTTTTTTTATTCTGTGTTACTTTGAGGGTCCCTCAGCATGACATTGATTGTTTCCTGTTTTGTGGAATTCAGTTAGTATTATTGAAAAAGGGTGATTTTGAATTAAGGAACCAGTTCTCTTTTCAAAGTCATCTTCAGAGTATAGCTTGCTGAGTAACAGCTAAGATAAGTACTGTAGCTCGTTGTTCAGGTCTGGGTTGTCTTTAGGAGCCTGTGCTTGGTATATGGAGGCTGTGTTTGAGTTCAGATGATGGTCAGGCTGGTAATTTTTGTTTTACTATATATTTTAAAAATATAAGGTGTATGGAGACATTTTTCCATGTTTTGCTGGTTTATTTTCCTTCCCTCTCTAGTGGCATTAGATAAATAGTGTGGGAATTTGTTTTCTCCAGAAAGTGAAGGTCTAGAAAAAAAAAGGCATTTTTCCACCAGAATTTAGCTTTTGAACAAGATGGCAAGAAATATGAAGGAATTTTTGTAGTTATGTGTCGATCTCAAAATTCAAAATTGTTTCTATAGATTATTTTTCATTTTTGAATATACTAACACAGAGGAGGTTTTGGGGAGACCAGAGGATGAAGAGCACTTTATGAAAATATAGCAGCATAGTCCCAAGCAGCTTCTCTGTTCCTGAATTGGGCTCTTGTTTGCAAGAGTCTGGAGATAGGAACAGTCTGAAAGTATAGTTAACCCCTCAGTGCAGCTGTAGAGTAGATGCTCAAGTTGATTTTATTTGGTTTGGTTAGATATGCAAAGGTTACCAGCAACTGTGGAGTTGCTGTATGAGTGACACCTGTGTTCTTTAGGCTTTTATCCTTCATTTGCTGCCAACTTCTTTAAAGTTTGTGACATTTTTATTTTAAAAGCTTCAGAAGACAGAACACCTCTGGGGTTCTGTTTTGCTATGATGAAAACATAAGGTACTAATAAACTATATAATTACAAACATGAATCATTAAAACTGTGCAAGACTTGATGGCTCCAAACTTGACAGGACCTTCATCTTTCCTTTATCAGACTGATTAACAGTAATGCAGTTCTATTGTGCTGATGTTTATGTTACTAGTGTCCACATAACTTTTCCACTGTGTCTGCTGGGAGGAGAAAAAAACCATAAGAATTAGAGGTCAAAATTAATAATATGCATTTCAAGTTTGACAGTGAAGACTGCTAATTCATGCAAAGTCTTGGATCTCTACCTAGTCTGGTTGAAAACATGAGCCCAAAACTAATTTATTTGTATTTTAGTTCTCTGGAGAATACTTGAGGCAGAAAGTGAGTGTCAAAACTCAGTCTGAAACTAGGGTGAAACTTCTTGAGCTAGTTGGTATAGACTGGATTATATTTCCCATGATTCTTAGTGCTGTAGCTGTGCTTAGTTACAGGGTGATGAACAGTTGTCTGTTTATTTTAGACATTCACCTGCCCCTGTATCTGCATGAATGCCAAGTCCACAAAGTATGCAACTCTTTGAAATTAAGTGTGTTATCATCTGTAAGGGCTTAAAACTGCATCCTGAACTGCAAAGAGACTAGAAGAATATGGGGATTAATAAAATGGTTTGGATCTAATCCGTGTAGAAGACAGGCTGCTATTCTTAATTTTCTAGTGATACCCTTCTTTAGGCTAAGGTGGAGAGCAGTGTCTGAATGCCATCGAAATATGATGGCTGTGTAAGCAGTGTGGAGCAGTGAATGGAGCCTGCTTGTAAACCAGTGACAGTAACGAGCACTTTTGTACTCACTCACCATCTAATATGCTCTGGATTTTTTTCATTTTACAGGAAATCTACAAGTCGACTGTCTATTTCTGAAGTTTTTTTTATCCAAGATTATTGTATGGACCTTCAAAACAAGGTCACATTGTTATATGTTGCTATTGGAGACCTGAAATTAGAGTTAGCATTGGAGGTGCTAAGTCTTGACTGACTGTTGCCTACCCACAGCTTGAACATTATTCTTGAAGTGCAGCCTCTTTAGATTCATTTAGCAGGTGTGCAAATGTACAAGCTTCTAAATTGTCCTGGTCCAGAAAAAAAAAGGGCAAGTAAACACAGCAGGCATGTAAACAAGACACATACAATTACTTAATATTTTTTGCTAGATCTAAACAAACAAAAAAACCATGTGGAATTTGGAGATTCTTTTATCAATGAGAATGTCTCAACTCTCTTGGAGCATAAAGGGTGGGGATGGGAAGTAATATGCACTGTTACCACTGTGCATGGCCTGTGTCAGTCTTCCAGCCATTTGTTACAGTGGGGTGGAATTCCCAGCTGCCCAGCCTTGTCCAGACTTCCTCAGCTTCTGCCAGGTTCCCTGCAGCCTTGGAAAGCAGCAGATTGTTGAACACCAATGTATTTATTTTTATGTTGTTACCACATTCCCAGGAGGAACCTTGACTATGATTTCAGCTGGTCTCACCACACTGTCCAAATCCTTCATCAGGAGCAGCTGGGAATAGAAATCACTCAGGTTTCTACACAGCACATTGCTGGTACACTTCCTCCTTCTCAGTAATCCTGTTAATTCCAGTCTTCATTTGCCACTCTCCTGGTTCTCTGTGTTGTTGCTGTGACTGACTGCACAAATGGTCTTAATTTCAAAAGATGACCTTCAAATGGGCACCTCAAGTAACCTCTACCTCAGACTGCTTTGAAGACCCAGGCACAAGGTATCTTATGACACAAAAGAGAAACTTTTGATGTCACTTCATTACTTATCCTAGCCCAGGAATGGAGTAATGATGAGCTCTTCCACATAAATCCTTTCAGAACCACCTGTCTGGCTGAGAAGCTCTGGGTGAATCATTGAAGAGGGAGCTCCTGTGTGATATCCAGCACTTTGCATCAAACTTTTCTGGTGCAGCAGAAAAGAGATACTGACAGCAGCTCTGTCAGTATCTCTGTAATGCTGTCTCCATGCAGAGAAAGGATCATTGAGAAACAGAATTAGTCCCTTTTATCATACTTTGGAAAGCTGGGCTTGAGTTGAATCCTACTATTGTGCCTCCCTTTTCGGGAGGGCAAAGAATCAGTTACAATGGAGGATATTTAGTTGCACATTTGTTCTTAAAGTTATCTTCCTAAAGCCATTGTTTATTTAATGCATCACAAAAATATCCTGAATAATCTCTCTCTTACTACTGACTTCCACAGTTTTATAAAGAGAGCACACAGGAAGGGAGTAAAAATAATTTCACTCCCTTCTTTAATTGATCAGTCAGTCCTAGGTCAGATAAGTGACACACACACCAAGCCTCTAGTACCAGATGGGCCTGAAGGGAAAGGAGGATGGTAAAGAGGCTTTCTTATTACCCCATTTCTTAGTGCTCTTTGGAGGGGCAGGGAACCATTATCTTATGACTAACAATGAGCAAATACTGATGTTTTGAATCAGTACCTTTAAAACAGATACAAGTTATCAGCAGGACATGACTATGTTTGAGTTCTGAGAAAAGTGTATGTAAGTCTCATTAAGCCTCAGCAGCGTGTAAAGTGCTGCCAGAAGCAGCATTCCAGGCCCTTCTCAGATGAGAGCATCCAACTCAGCCATCGCCTCTCAGATAGAACTGAGGGTCGGTGTTCGCTTCTAATCATCAGAAATTACATTTATTCTTTAACTTGTGAGAGCAACCTGCCTCTCACATCTTTACTCAACCTTTTGCCTTTCTTTTGTCAAAGGAAGGGTTTTTTTCCTGTTGCTGCTGATCTCATGCCACTGAAAGGACATTCCACATCTCAGGACTCTTCCTGAGAAAGCAGGAGAAAATGGAAAGAACAGTCTTTAGAGTCAGCTTCCCTATCGAAGAGCTAGAACTCAGCTTGAATTTTAGGAGCCTTTGCTTCTGACAAACTCAGAAGCAGGATAAGTGATGGTTGTAGGCAATTTGGATTTTTGCCTGACGGGAGGCTTGGGCACTGCTTGTTCTCAGTAGTGAGGTGATGGCGAGCTGCCTGTGTTTCCTTGCTGTGTTGGAAATGTCCTTCAATATCAGGTGTGCAAAGACACAGGAGAGGTTATATAATATTTTGGCTGGTTCTGTCTCACATCTGGTCCTTTGGCATTAAGCTACCTATAGAGGGAATGACTTTGCCCATCCAAATTGGATTTTGTTTTAATCTGGCATTGTTTTATTGAGGCTAAAAATAGGAGCCAAAATGTGTGTGAATAGGCTAAAAAGTGTATCTGAAGTTATGAAATGAAATGTGGAGAAGAACCAAAGAAGAGGGAGCCACAGTGAACCAGGGAGTAGAGAGGTGAATAAGAGAAATCAGAAAGAAAGCTGTCAAGTACAGAAGGGCATTAGCAGTGGGGATGAGTGTTACATGGGGAGTAGGAAGGCTCATGCTGACTTCCACTGGTCAGTGAGTCTGCTCGCTGCTTTTTTATGCAGGAAGACTTCTCTGGAATACAGTTGTATACACTGTTCATGGCATACACATCACATTCCCCACACACACTCAGACATCCACACCTCGCCACCCCCCAAGAAAATTTTCATGACTTGGAACTGCTGCTTTCCCTTGCCTGCCTGGTCCAACAAGTCAGGTTGAAATTGTGCCCAAAATATGGGGGAGGGAAGGCTGGCTTTCTGTTGTCAGCTGTCCTGGCTTGCTAGTGTCAGTCACCCATAGATATAAATAAACCCCATGTATTTATTGCCTTTCTTAGTTATCCTGTGTATTATCAAGGGAATGCTGGGCATCATTCTAAGATCAGAAATTCACTCTGGGGTAAAAAAAATCTGAATTTCTAGGATAATCTTAGCTTTTCAGGGAGAAAGAAAGCTCCTGCTTTCAACATTAGATTCAGGAGACTTCAATAAAGGCGCTCAGTTCTCCTACAAACTTTCTGTGGGTAAGATGAAACTGTCCAAACTAGCTGTAAAAAATATTAGCATGGGCGTCTGACTCAGTACTGTCACCTAGCCTTGTGCTTGTTTCTTTTATTCCTGCAGCTTGGAAGCACACTAGATTAGGTGCTGGTTTGTGAGCAAGGCTATGTACATCTGTGCTGGGGAAGTCTATATGGCAATGAATTTCAGTGTGCAGATATCTCTTAAATGACTTCATGCAACTCCTTTGATTTTTTTGTGATTCAGAATTATATCCATAAAAGGGAGGTAATCCTTTTCTTCCCACTGTGACTGTTCTGAGTTTTTGAGGTGCAGTCATGGGTGACATAATAGTGTGTAAACATGTGGACAGACATATGGGCAGATACTTTGACACCTCATGGCAGGCAGAGAATAAAGGAGGTTCATGCTGTTGTACGTGGTGATTCACAGCAATGACTCTTTATCACTGGAGAGAATCAATCCTTAATGTTGGCTTCTGTCAGCAATGAGCTCTTTTTCTGTTCCCCACTACTCAACCAGAACCTCCAAATACTCAACTGCAAGGAGGTGGAATGCTCACCAATAGCTTTGAAAAACTTCAGAGTGTTATATACATTCATTTTTATGAAATCAATGAATTGGCAATGAGTGCCACTCTTGATATGAATGTCCATATTTACTTGTAGACATAGGAATGCCCTTCTCTGTGCTGAGTCCTCAAGGTACAAGAATGTACAAGAACTCAAGGAAAGTGATTTTAACTCAGTTTGTGAGAAAACACAAACTGTGCAATGCATTTCTCTAGGAATAGGAAGGCTCAAACATCTTCAAAATGGGAAAATGAGGTTGAAGTTGGCTGCCTTCTCTCATGGGCCTTTGTTTCCTTAATTTCAGCATATTGCCAAGGGATATGTTTCTGGACTGGTATCCTGCCTTAACGCACATGGTTGACAGTTTGGTTCCTACTTCAGTTTTCAAGCTTTCTGTGTGGTGACATAGCTGGCAATTCCACTTTCTAAACGTCTTTCCAGATCCTCTGTGTTCTGTGATGTTTGGCTGTATGCTGTATGTTTCAAGGAGAGGGACTGTATTTTCTTTAAATATAGTAATATTTTTAATAAACATCTCTCAACAAATGTCACTCATGTTTCGGAGCAAGCTGATATGCTAAATACACAGGACAAGCTCTACCTACTAGATTAGCTGTAAAATGCAAGCTGTCCAAAATAAACTTGGTACATTTCTAAGTGTTTTGGTTTTTTCTTTTTCAAGGGCTAAGTATGTTTAAGTAAAAGAAGTGAAGATGACATTGACGTTTTCCCATAATATGCCTAAATAGTAAAATGCTGCAGTATGTAGAAGTCAAAACTGTTTCTTTATAATAATTGGGTGGGGAAGGGGGCCACATTCCATATTCCCAATTTGTTTCTTTTTAAAGATCTACCTTTCACACCCTCAGCTCTCCTGCAACAAGGTCCTCAGCATGTGCTGGAGTGGGGAAATAGACTCCCATGCAAGCAAATGAGTAAAAGACCCAAAGAAAGAGATAAAGCATACTGATATGGGAGAAAGATTTAGAGGAGGGTGCATGTGAAGAGATGAGTCACATGAGTCGGAAGCAAGAGTGAAGAAAGTATTCTGGTGCTTGAAAGGAATACCAAGAGTACTTTTTCACACAGTAGCTTACTAAGTTAGGTTTTGTTATACTGGTCTCCGATCTCATCTGTTGTAGCAGAGAGGTTGTGTGGTAAGGACACTCAGGTTTCTGGTGATGGCTGAGATTTGCAGAGCAGGGCATCAGTTTTCCCTGTTGAACAGTCCTCCATGATTACTCGAAATCTTTGAGTAAAAAAACTTTGTTTTTTTTCCCAGCTTCTACTCGCAGAGAAGGATTAACACAGAACTCCAGGTGAGGAATCCCAAGAGTTGCTTCAAGTATGGGACAACGGAAGAAGCAGCAGCAGTGACTTCACACCATCACATTCCCATATTAGGCAAAAAAGAGAGAAGAGGAGGCCTTGGTGAGAGAACAACCCACTGAAAAGAGTATCTAAACATCTGTGAAAGCAGATTGTGGTGATACACCTGCAAGCTGAGATGAATGAATGCTTCTGGGAGCTTCTGCTGCTGAGTCTTTGTCCCTTCAAGGGACAAATCACTAACTGTGAGATCTTTCTGTAAGACAAGAGATCTTTCCTGCAGCTAGTCTTCCTAAAGTCCAGGTTTGAATATAAAGTCTCACTTGCTCAGCCATTTCAATCTGTTCTAGTCTGGTAATAGCCAAGATTCCATACTTTCATCACATGGCAACCATCAGCAGAGAAAAATATTAGAACATGTGACTGGAGATGTCTGTGTTGGTTGCCATCTTGAATTTTGGCACAGAGCCATAGAAATTAACAGTTTAAATAAAGTCATTTCATTTGTTTGTTTTGGTTATAATTTCAGTTATTAATTCACACGCCCAAAATATTTGCTGTTGTTATATTGGACAGGATTTTAAATCTGTCTTTGTTTCACTGTAAGATACTTGTATTCTGTGTGGCTTATTTTGTATTTTGATTTCTGTTTGTTTAGACTTTGTAAACTTTTTAAATCGGCTGATGTTTTCAGACCCAGGCTTGAACCCCGAGGCCCAGGTGTCTCTTATCAGTTGCAGTAGTGTCTTGGTGAAGAAGTTCAGTTAAAATTTGCCTAGTGTTATGAAAATTAGTTTGCTTATGTTAGAAAACAATGTCAGCAGCTGGAAATTGTATTGGAGAGAAGATCCATCCATCCTTAAAATGAACAGGAAGCAGCTTCAGCTCTGGCTCTTGGTTGGTGCCAAGTTAAAGGAAAACTCAGTATTTTGCAACTTCTCCCTTGTCCAACAGCAAGGGGTGTGATTGATAGTTCTCAAAGGTAAAAAATGTTCTATTGCTTGTATCAGAGTCTTCAGAGATTGGATTTGACATCCTGTTTGATGTCTTTTCTTACTCCACTTTCCTCTGTCTTTTGTAGTTTGTATAGTCAGTGTTAAGAGATCATTCAAATCTGTTGACAGGTAGATAGTCATCAACCCAAAGGACTGACAAAAGAAACTATGTCAGAGAGGGAAGGTGTTTTCTCTTGAAACTATTATGTTCATGTTCACTCTTGAATTCCACATATTTTCTGTCACTCAAGACCAGACAAATTGTGAGAAGGTTAAATAATTATGTTCATACCTTATTAGTTTCACCATCACTCACTTCAGGCATGAGTTAATAGGACAGAATATGCATTTTTCTATTTCTGGTACACTCACACATGTGACACACTGAATACTTCACTTGTCTGAAGTGCAGCTCTCTGATACAGCTGTTCCCTTCCTTAGCTTATCTTTCATTTCCATTAGACAGTCATGATCACGTTCACTTTCTTCACATTTTTGTTGGCTCATGATGAGTGAAAGTTTAGTTGAAGAAGTTATTTCAGACTTGTGCACATTCTCAGCAGCTGTGGGCTTTAGGACCGTAGGTCTGTCTTCTTACAGCCTACTCTGCTATGCTGATATTGGCTATTGCCTCCAGCTCGGTCAGAGGGGCTATTTCCATGTAAGATTGAGCTTCAGTAAATAACAATTCCATTCCTTTCTTCCTCCCAATGGATCTGAGTTATCTTTATTCCACTGGGTTTATATACAGCATTCAGTAGCTGTAGGATATACATCCTTATGGACCTCTCATCTCTGCTTTTGTTTACTAGTTTGTTTGTTCAGGTTATCACAGCCTCTACTGAAAACTGTAGAGAGGTTTGTAGGATAAAGACTTAGCTCAGGAAAGGTGATTGTCTTATAGGAATCCTCGTCAGAAGCAACATTCTTACATATTTGTCAAGAAAATTTCCAATTAGTGCTGGCTTATTATGAACACGGGTGAATTGTTTTGTCAGTTTTGCCAGTCTCACACCCACTCATTTTGGGATAATGATTTGAACTTGGTTACAGACATTTTTCCTCAACTTCTTTGTATTGCATGTTAGATGTAGCCAACATCTGTAACTGTGATGACTTAGTAGCAGCATATTAAATATTGTGTCTCTGAGATTTTTAAAATATTCAGGAAAATGCACAGTGCAGTCCAAGACCCTTATTTTGAAGGGATTAATTTTGTCAGGAGCAGTGAGGACTTGCATCCTTTTCCCTGAGAAGATTTTTCTCCTGCTTCAGACAAATAAAAAAAAACAACCCAGGAGTATCAAGACTGGTCCTTTACCTGAAGCCAAACACCTAGACCATGAATTCCTGTTTATTCTCAGGATGTGCTCAGCCGGAGCATCAAATGACATAGCAGTATTCCTTTGTCTTGAGCATCTGCTGATCCCATCTCTGAACACAAATGCTGATACACTGGGAACATATGCAATAGAGAAGAAATTGTGTGATTCCAGCCGCTTATTTCTTCCACCTCCCTGTATTCTTCAGCCTGTAGTCCATATGTCTGTGCATGGTGGGTACTGTGTACTGAAGACTAACGTGTATTTTGTCTCTTTGCAGCTCTGCTACCTCCATGTCTGTCCCTTTCCATAAGTCTCTTAGTGCTGCAGTTAAGAGATTCAGTGGGGAAGCATAGGACTGTTTCCCACTCATCTTGGGAGAGAAGGCATTTTACAGGAAGTGTTTTCTTCTACAAGGGAGGAAAGTAGAATAGCAAACCCTTTTGGATATATAATAGTTGCACAAGCAGAGTACAGGTATGTGTTCCTCAAGTGTGGTTTATTTTTTCTCTGTATTCATCAATGGTTCCATCAGAAGTGTCCTTCTTCACTGCAAGACAATTACTAATAGAAAACCCCAACAATCATTCAGCATCTATCTCAGTGCTGACAGTGAAAAATGTTATCAAAGGATCCCCCGCTTCTGTGATCTTTGTATCACTTCTGACTTACAGAGCCTGTTCTAGTGACAGAGAATGAGGCTTGAAAGCAATAATGTGCACATCAGAGTCCTGGAGGCTGAGCTAATGAAGAGTTCATACAGCATTTGTGCTTTGTTTAGGTGATGAGCATACCATGACATAAAAATTAAGGGCAGGGTTATAAAATTCTCTTCCTTTCCGGAAGAGCTGACTTGTGCTCAATTCATGAAATATCAAGTTTCCTTTTCGCATGTTTTATCTTGACCTTTAAAACAGCCTCACAAGGAAGGTGAGTGCCATCAATGGTAAGATCATGTTGTGACCCTAAACAAAAACCACTTAGTCTTGGATGCCAACAAGATATACTGAAATTTCTATTCTCAAGACTAGGTATTTCTTTGCACAATCATGATTTTATTTTTTAAGATTTACTTGATAAAACTGCCAAAGACTTTTTACCTCAGTCAGTTCTATATTTGCTGATAATCCTGGGGTCACTGTTTGAGTCTGAATGGGTTATTTTCTGGTGTATAAATAGTTGGATTTTTTTGGTTGCAGTAAGTGGCTGATTGATCCTCTTCAAATTATTTCCTTTCTGAACACATTGCTCTCATGGTTCTGTCATAAGTTTCTTCCAAAAGCAGCTTCTGAGTGGTACTTAAATCTGGGGCTGGGCTTTTTATTTCTTCTAGAACCTCATGTTTCTAGAACTGAGACATCCTTGTTTACACCAAACATCAGCAGAACCTTAATTTTACTTTGCAGAACTGAGATTGCTTATACCTGCAGCTTAACATTCATAGTTTTCTTCATGCAGAAAGTGATTGATTGGAAAAGAGATGAGGAAGAGGTATGTAAGGAAGAAGTTGAAAAAGGAGCAATAGTTCACTATCATGCCCACTAGAAGTAGGAGCATCAAATGAAACTAACAGATACAAGTTTCAAAGAAAAAAAAAAAGTGGGGAGAGATAGCAACTTTTTTGCACAGTATGTACGTGACCTATGGAATTCCTTGTTACAAGATGTAAATACAAAAGTAGCGTGTGGTTTGAAAAGACAAGTAGACAAATCCATGAAAAAGTAATCTGTTAGGGCATATGAAATATTGAAACTGAAAAATAGGAAATTTCTAAGATTTTTCAAATTACTATTCTGGGGAAGTCTTACAATGGGCTGTTCCAATTTTTAACTTGTGCATCAGGCATGGGCTGTTGACCTCTGTCCAACAAGGGCTAAGCTAGGTGGTCTTGCAGTCTGACTTTGTATGGGTTTTTTATCTTGGCAGTTGCAGTACAGACTACTAGAATGGCCAGGACAAAACTTCTTTCCTGACGATGGCATGTTCCACCAGCATTCATCCTGTGGTCCTTGAGTTTTCTCAAGAAAAGTGTCTGTTGCTGACATATGCCAAGTTGTCACATGCAACTTGTGTATGCTTTCATCTGGCTGGGCACTATATATTGCAGAGGCTTTCAGAAACTTAAAAGCACATAAGGGACACCGAGATCCACCTCTAGACAAACAGGGATTTTGGAGGAAAGTAGGTGGCTATATGAAAGTCATCCATAATAAAATGCTTGTAAATGGTTAATCATGTAAATGTGGAAAAAAACTTTTCCACTAACTGAAGCTTTTAAGTTATCTTATTCATACACATTTTGCTTCTTGCTGTCTTTGTTTTCCAAAGAGCTCAAGTGCAGAGCACCTTCAAGTTGAATGTGCACAACCACAGCATGTCTTTAGGAACCTGGTAACTTGCTCATTCCACTTTAGAACACTGCTGTCCTTTTGCAAAGAATGAAGATTCCCTGCTGACTTAGAGATGAGTTGTTAGGAAATGCAGACTGATCTCAAAATTGTTGGATTCTGAGTCTTCCTCTGCAGTTGTAATGCAAGAGGACAACTTCACTGAACTGAAGGTGACAAGTAATACCAAGTCTGCCCTGAGGAGTCTGCTCTATTGACTTACCAAAAAAGGATTTTATTGGCCCTCATTGAAAAGGAGTTTTCACTGCTGTTTTGAATTAAAAGGATAGAATCACTGATCACTGTGGAGACCCTGGTATGAAGCCTTTGCCAGTGGTATTCAGTGAATCATCGTGGTTCCCAAGGGAAAAGACTGTACTTACCAAGGCCTCTTCTCTACAAGTCCACGCCTACAGCACAGACAGTGAGCTTGAGAAATCTTCTATTCTTTGAAAAGAAGTGGCTTCTTTATCTGACCTATCAGACAAATCAAATTTGCCTTAAAAAGATGAAATTGGATGCAATTGTTAAGGATTTAGGGGCTGTTAAAGATATGTCTTTTATTAACAAAATTTTTGTCATTTGTTTGGGGCAGGTGAAAGAGGTGCTGTTATCTCTAAAAGCAATTTCAACATTGTATTTTGACATCTTGGCTCCTGCTGTTCTGGGATGGGCAACAAAAGACAACTCCTGAACATTAATTCAATTTGGTGCCCCTGCAAGAATATTTTATAAAATCTTATCACCATAATTATAGTAATGGTAGTCTCCTTCCCCCACACAAAGGGGAGATAAGTTACAGTACTCAGTTATGTTCTAAAGTCATAAAATCTTCCCCAAAAATATTTTGGGGTTGTTGAGCTGATCCCTATATCTTGAGTATTATCATGTCAAAAATCAGGAGGGAATCTTTGAAAAGTTTCTTTACTGATGAGTCAAACTGCTTGACTGTCATCACTTCCTCATTCTACTGTAAAACTGTTTTTTTTCTCAGTCTAGGGAAGAAAAATGGCAAGGGATTTTTTCCACACAGTTTCCAGTAATTATTGTATAGGATTTACCTCATGGTTTTCATGTGGTTTTGCCTTATTTATATGATCTTCTGAAAAAGTTGTGCTGTGTCAGATATATTTAATATAATATATTTAATACACCTAGGATGTCTTAATACACCATTCTTCAAGGTGCAGATGGAGAGCTGTGAATCTGCTGGGAAGTTTTAGCATCCCACTGGTGCCAGTACTTACGTTACTAATGCTTCCAGTTGCATGATGCTTCCCCCATTCAATCTGGGCTTGTCTTCCTTCCTGAAAGTGTGTTCTCCACTGTTTCTAATTCCAGAAATCCTGTGTGGAATCCACTTTGTCTGTGATATCAGCCTGGATTTTTTTTTTTCTTATACACAGACCTACAAAACTCATGTCTTCATATGTGTAGTAAAACTTCTTTTTGAAATTATCTAGGAATAAAGATTGGTGGCTCCCTCTGCCAAATTGTGGCCCAGGTGTTTTGAATGAAGGCAGGGAAAATTGACAAAAATTAAGACAATTTAAAATGTGTATTCAGCACTATGTAACTGCTGCCACAATATGCTTTCCTGAGATTTTATTGCCATCTCTTTTGCTTCTCTTTGTTTGTTGTGTTTGTTTTTTTCCAGTTCTTCAGATTAGCATGACAGAGCACTTAGCATGGTAGTATCTCAATGAGATCTTCAGATCCTGAAGCATACTTAGAGATTTTTGTAGCAAGTCTCCTCTGAGGGGGCAGATGTCAAATTGTGTCATGCAAGGCAGCTTGTTACAAGCTGGATGTCTTTCAGAGACTCTAGTTGTGAGTCAGACTGTCTGCTACTGCTTTCCTCTGCAAGTGGAGTTTCTTACAAATCCTTAAAAACAGTGGATTTCTCTCAAGCATCTAGTCAACCTGCAAGAGGATTTCAGCACTTCAAAAGGCCAAAATTTTGTTTCCAGAAAGGGCCAGAATATGGTAACCATGACATTCCCCAGTCATTATACTACATGCATTGCACAAATCCTGTAAGATTTGCCCCTGGCTGGACAGCAAATCTTTGTTTTGTCTGCTTCCTGAAGAGGATAATAACTTAGGAGAAAAAATAAATCCTTCCTGAAAAATGTCAGGAAATATGGTTTGAGATGACACAGCTGGTTTCTTTCATCAAAGATATATTATATATGGACTGGCCATGATATATTGTTATAATGCCTCATTTCTGAATCTGATGAGTGAATATCTAAACAGCTAGTGAGAAATGGCTGTGTGTTGGCAGACCAGAAAAAGGAAGTCTGCTTTGCTTTCTACAACACACCTAATGCCTACATGTTGCTTTTTTTTCCCTGTATTGGCCTCATGTGGACAGCAATGAGGCATCTTCTTCCTTTTCTTCTGTCACACCTGAACGATGGGTTGCTATCCAGAGGGAGCTGGATAAACTCAAGAAGTGGGGCCATGGGAACCTCGTGAGGTTTAACAGGGTCAAGTGCAAGGTGCTGTACCTGGGTCAGGGCAATCCCCAGTCTCAGCACAGGCTGGGGATGAACAGCCCCAGGGCAGCCCTGCCCAGAAGGACTTGGGGGTGCTGCTGGCTGAGAGGCTGCACATGAGGCACCATGGGCACTGCCAGCCCAGAGAGCCAAACGTGCCCTGGGCTGCATCCAGAGCAGCGTGGGCAGCAGGGCCAGGGAGGGGATCCCTCTGCTCTGGTGAGAGCCCACCTGCAGGGCTGCATCAGCTCTGGGGTCCCCAACAGAAAGAGCAGGGACCTGTTGGAGCAGTTGAGTACAGAGGGGGGAAACCAAGATGATCAGAGGGACAGAGCACTTCTGTGAAGACAGAGTGAGAGAATTGGGTTTGTTCAACCTGGAAAAGAGATGGCTTAAGGGTGACCTAATTGGCTTTTCAGTACCTGAAGGGAGCCTGCACAACAAAAAGAGACTTTTTACAACATCATGTAGTGACAGGACCAGAAGGAATGGATTCAAACTGAAAGAGCAACTTTAGATTAGATATTAGGAAGAAATTCTTTACTGTGAGGTTTGTGAGGCACTCAGGGTAACCAGGGAAAACATAGATGCTGGAACCCTGGGGATGTTCAAGGCCAGGCTGGATGAAGCTCTGAGCAACATGGTCTAACAGGTGTCCCTATCCATGATTGGGGGTTGAAACTACATTATCTTTAAGGTTCCTTCCAACCCAAACCATTCTATGATCTTTCCTAGTCAACTAAGTGGAATGAGAGGCAATGAATATCACCCTTTACAAAGATCACAAGCTTCCTGAAAGAGGGAGAAATAAGTCTTTGTCTTCAGAAGGTACCACTTGGTTTAAGTTAACAATAGCAGCATAAACCAGCCTAGGGGACAGAGTTTCTGCCTGGAAGCTGTTCACTAAGTTTGCAGGATGTGGGAAACCAATAATGGGGAGGGTGGAGGGAGGAGGGAAAGAATGGTTTGCCATAAACCACAGCTGTAAAGAAACCATTATACCATTAGATAGGGATAAGAACCTTATCTCTGAGTGCATCTTTCATTAAATCATAGGCCAGTAGCGGAAAGGGCCCAGTTGCATGGTTGAATGCCTTTAGACCATCTCTGTATCTGTCTAAGAAACCTAGTCCTACATTAGGGTGTT